TGAGAGTTCTTTCTATCTACAAAGACATTCTTTCTTTCTCCCAGAGTATTCTTTCTTTTTTCATTTCATTTTTTCTTTTTTTTATATATAACTTCTTTCTTTCGTTTACCATTTCTTTTTTTAAAAAGAGTATCACCCCGAGCAAGGCAGTAAAACCACTAAAACGCCGGGGGAGGCTTACAGGATGTGCAAGAATTAGGAACAGAAAAATGAATGAGTAAAGAGAGACAAGAGTAATCAGGAGGACAGTAGATAGCGAGTGGCATTGCATTTAGATTTTGCAGTTTAAAGTTGGCTGGAAAACATGAAGTCAGAAAAGAGTTTCACAAGAAGTGCGAGAAATAAAACTGTTAGTATTTGTCTATATTCCTGAGATGAGGTATTATGTACACTGTTTACATTATTCGGACTATTGTCCTCTTTGTCGCCATATCTATTACAACGTTTCGGCCGTTGTACGCTCCGGCCTTCTTCAGGTGGTTGGAATGTCGAACTGAACACCTTATTTCGCTCACTGGGGTAGACTGTTCTAGTTCCATGTGCCATATTTAATGGATATCAGTTATCAGTTATCTCCTGTTAATTCCTTTCTCCAAGTTCTCCACTGCCTTAACCGGGTATTGAACTCACACTCTTTGGGTCCTGTCACTGGATCTACCTAACGCTTTTATTCACGCCTTTATGACTTTCTGGATATTATAAACGTAATGTCTTCAGCATCCATTTTCTTTTTACTAGTGCTAATATATCAATTTTTGCTGTTATCATTTTATGTTTTTACCAGAGCTCATATTGCAATTTTCTCTTACACCCCTTATTACTAGTTCCTATATTGTATTCATTTCTATGCTTGGTCGGCTCAGGAGATTTTTCTGGTATAGCATATGAAGAAACTATTAGCATAGAACTTACGGCCAGATCTAGCCAGCTCAAATGTAAATGGAAGAGATCTTTACGCCAGTCTAGTACCGCGCTTAAATTCACAAAGCTGAGGTACCATAGAGAATAGCTCATCGGAAAAATTTCCATGAAATTATTTATAAAAAAAGCACAGAGGCAACCTTACGGCGGTGTGTAAGTAACTGATTCTTTTTAGTTATTTTTTATTTCGTGTATTTTTTTTCTTTCTTACTTTTATAATATACTAGCATCCATACCCAGCTGGTCGGTCAGAAAAAGCGTTCAATTAGAATGGAGCAAAAATAGCATCATGTTTAGAGATACTTTAAAGTACTTTCATTAAAAGAAAACATTTTGAATTTATTCAGTTACTGATATAACAGAAGTAGTCTATATTTATTCAATCGAAGTTAGCCGAGGACATGAAGGGGTAAAACAGGCAACATGAAGACCCACTTCAGACCACAATTATTTTGAAGTTTTTGAAATTCAATTTGTCAGTATGCTACCAAGGATGTAAAAGAGGATACATTTATAAAGCAATTGTTTAGTTTGATTGAAAGATCAACGAAAAATAAGAGAGAAACCAGTAAAAATCGCCATTTTTTCGCGGGTTTTCGCTATATGGATGAACGCAATTATTAAGTTAAATGACTGTTAAACAATCAAATTATTGTTGACTGCAGTTGAGTGAAGTTTGTATTAGATTGCTTGAAAATTGAGGGAGTTTTAGTCTAAAATTTGTGTTGAAGTCGATTGGTGTTGAAATCGATTTTTCGTTTTTCGCTGTTTTTCGGTAAACGAAGTGGCGTAGAAATAAGAATGAGGTATCGTTGAGCTCGTCGTGATGTAAGTCACCTATATACCGTGTATATTTGAATTTAGCGATTTTCGATCGCCTTTATCGATTATTGATTTAAAAAAATATATCATATTATATATTTTATTACCCTATCACAAGCGAGAAGTGCGAGAAAAGAAATGTACGTGCCAAGTTTGTTCAAAATAGGTTGGATGGATCTTGAGTGAAAAGGTATCCCACAGACAGATACACACAGACATCCTTTGTTTTATATATAGAGATTTTTCTATAGTTTCCATTCTGTGTCTGCTACCACTTCTGTGTTATCTCTGTTTCTTTTGTTATTAAGAGTGTGCCCACCGATAATGAAACCTGGTAGAACTTTTAGGTCTCTTAGCATTTGAACTAATAATTTAAATTATATTCCCGCAAATAATACCCATACGTTCAACTCATTTAAAACAACAAATACTAATTAAACATTTTCTTTGAAATTTTATTACGTTGTAACAAGACAGTTCCGCCCAGAAATAAAAAAAAAACAAAAAAAAAATCAGCGTCTTAATTGCTTTGCCACTCTTAGTTTATTTTTCATTATTTTGAGATTAATTTCATACCAGAAAAAAAAACAACAATATATATATATATACACAAAAATAAGCGTGTATATATACACACACACACACACACACACACACATATATATATATATATATATATATATATATAGGCCACACAGAAAAAGAAGGAAGCCATCTTGAAGTGTAGGTTACCAGAGTGAAGAAGGTGAATGCAGCAGGATTTTAACAAAGATCATTATATATATATATATATATATATATATATATATATATATATATATATTGTCATCCACAGACAGACTCTTTCGCTGTTTCACAGCTCATCAGTGTGTCTAGACATCCGATTGCCTCAAGCCGGAATTGAAACCCGACTGATTTTGTATCAGTCGGTGATTTTATTTCATTGCCACACGGTAAGGATGAAGGTGAATTTCGACGTATTTATTTTTAGACAAACACACCAGTGACAGGAGAACTCGATTAGTCTTAACGAATATCTTGCATCAGTAGCAGTAATAGTGACTGTTTACAAATTCGCTTTTCTCCCCGAAGTGCTCTACCGAAATAATTTTTTCAAGAGGATGTATATATTGTCATCCACAGACAGACTGTTTCACTAATACATTTGTAATTGGTAGGGATTATTCCAAAGAGGACTTTTAGTCAATAATAGAGCTCTATGTATGATACACAAAAAATTATGATACAAAGAATAATTAAGAAAAAAATCCAAAGTCGATAATAAATTTATTTCGATGGATATAGGTATATTAATCTCATCAGATCGACTACATTTTCTGAAAATGTAGTCAGTCTGATGAGATGAATATACCTATATTCATTACAATAAATTTATTACGGAATATGGATTTTTAAGGTTTTTCATAATTATTATATGTACATATATAAAAGAATAACAACACCGTGGCTTCAGATTCCTAACATTTTGTTCGAAGTAGTACTCAATATGGTTCTTTCCAAAACAGAAATTGTTATATAGAATTAGAATTAAAAGCAGTGATGGCATCTTCGTGAACCCATCTTAAAAATTCAGAATATGTAATTAATGGTTAATAAACAATTCAAATACCTTGGCATATGGATCAGAATTTAGAATTGGATATAAGAAAATTGATCATAAAATAAGATGTAGTAGTAGTAGTTTCGCACAATACCTCGAGTTGCTACAAAACGAAAACATTAACTTACAAAATATTTCTTAAACATTCTTGTCTGAAGGAAACGTTCTTATGGATAGTATTCATGGTGGAAAATTCGTTGAGAAATATTTAAACTCTCGGCTGTATACAACCGCTTTCTCAGATCAATGATTAAAATTGTTTCCAGCGAATGAAGCCTGTAGATGTTAGAGAGGACCATCCATCTATGAAGCTCGTGGACAGTGGCTAAAGGGTCCCAACAATGAAGTGTACCAACAACCAGAGGCTAAGCTACTTGAAGATCTTCAAAAGCTGCATGAATAGCATAATAATGACATAATCAAAATATTAACAACCTGAAAATAAAAGGTTAAAAAAGAAACCCCAAAACTGGAAAGAGATAACATAATCAAAATATCACTAACTTTCAACACACTTTAAATAAAATGGTTAAATAAAAAAGGTTAGGAAAAACCCCATTAATACTAGAAAGAGTCATAACACTAACAAATAACAAAACTACATCACTTAAGGACTTTCAACAAAACAACTGAACTGTATAGCACATGTAACTTGAAGAGAAATAATAAATCAAAATGTTGACGTTCCACTTTCAAATAAAAAAGGTTAGGAAGGAAACCCCATCAATACTAGAAAGAGTCATAACACTAACAAATAACAGAAACTACATCACTTAAGGACTTTCAACAGCAGCAACAACTGAAATGTAACTCGAAAAGAAAATAATGACATGATTAAAATATTGACGTTCCACACATAAAGATGGTCAGGAAGGAAGCCCGTATGACTACTGAAATGATCCATAACAGTGGACTTGCAAAACTTATTTTTCTGAAAGCAACTCTTGTTTTAGTTGGAGCCCTCGGATTGATTGGAAGAGATTCCAACAGACTCATTAAATGGATATTTGGTAGCCGATGCCTCAAAGAAATACAAAAAAAATGTTCTCACCAGTACAGTCCACATCTTACGAAGGACTTTATGTAAAATATGTGTGATTTTTTTTTCAAAACTGCTCATTGGAAAATGTCATAATGCTATTTCTGACCTTAGGTTCCTGGTTGGGACCCGGAAAGAAATGTGCATACACCATCAACCAACGGAAATAAAGCACTACTACTACTACTACTACTACTACTACTACTACTACTAATAATAATACAAATAATAATAAAATAAATACAAAAATTTGTTCTTTCGAGTACAGCCCACACCTTACGAAGAGCTTTATCTATGTAAAATATGTGTGTGTGTGTTTTAATTGGTCAATGGAAAATGTCATGATGCCATTTCTGACCTTAGGTCTCTGGTGATACCCGGAAAGAAATGAGTATACACCAGACATCAAAGGAAATAAAACGACAACAATATCAATAATAATAATAATAGTAGTAGTAGTACAGTGTAACCCGGATATAAGAGAGTTGTCGGGACCGGAGAAGAAGTCTCTTATATCCGGGTTTCTCTTATATCCGGGTTTGGTCTATTTTGTTTAGGTAAGTATGGCTCTAATTTGGGACCAGAGAAAATCTCTCT